GGTCGAGGAACTGCGGCTGCAGGAGGAGAGCGTGCGGCTGCATCAGATCAACATCTACCTTAGCGACCGCATCTCGCTGCACCGCCGCCTGCCGGAGCGCTGGAACCCGCTGTGAGTCCGCAGGTGGCCGGAGGAGCCTTGCCCGCGGAGTCCGGGCGCCTCAGTTTCCGCATCTGTGGAGTGGCCTGGTGGCCGTGGGGTCTCAACAGACCTGGCGGTTGCGCGTCTTATTGAGTCTTTCTCGGGAGTTGGCCGTGGAAGGGTTCACATGGGGGGAGGGGCGCAAGAAAGTTTTAAAAAATGAAGACAGAAAAAATGTCAGAAATTGAGGAATCTGTTCCTATGTGGTCTGTTGGCTCTCTCCCTCTTCAGAAGGTCTGTCATTCGGTCCAGAAAAGTGGGGATCGGGGCTAAGCCGACAGGTTTAAGATGAGACCCCCATTGGGTGCCCTTCCTGGGCCCCACAGCACCCTCAGTCCAGCTCTGCCAGTATCTTCCTGCCTTTGCAAAGCCAAGGACTCCTGGGGTTCAAGACAGGCTCCATTTAGTTATGCGTGCGCCTGGGCCATGAAGGATTCCAGCCACGTCAGAGGTTGCAATCCACCTTCCCTCTCACCTGAGCATTAGGAGGAGGAAGGCAGGTAGGAGTGGCTGGTGGGAAGGGCGCCTTCTGGCTGTGGTCTAGCCCACTTCACTCCTGTGGGTGGTGCAGGCCCAGAGCCTGTGTGGTCAAAGGCCCAATTCCTACTCGGGCTGCTGGCTGGGCGCTTGGTGCCCACTGCCCAGGTTTCGAGAAGGGAACAGCTGGCAGGAGGACAGCCCTTCTGGCCTTCTCTCTTCCTCAGTTGGTGGGAATCTTCCAGTTCCCTGCTTGATCCTCTCCTTAAAGACTTGAGGAAAAGAGAGCTCATACTTGGGCAGCCTGCTGTGTGTATCAGGCACCTGCTACCCCTCCCTGATCCTTGTCTTTCCTAATTTACAGGCGTGGAAATAGGCCCAGAGAGGATAGGTGACAACTAGAAAGTGGTGGAACTTGGGGGGACGTGACCCTCTTGGTTCCCTTGGCACTGATTTCCGGATTTAAGGGACCTGCTCTGTGGACCCTTGGCCGGAGAGAGAATGAATGTCTGCACGAGGTGGCCCTACCTCTGCAAAGTTTGGATGGACTTGCACCTCCCTATTTTTGGGGATCTGTTCACGTCTAGCCTCCTGCTTTTGCCTGAGGCATTTTCCCTGTTAATCTTTTTGAGAAGTTTGTTGGGGCTGGTAGTAGTTCCCTCCACTTCATCCAAATGGCTGAATGCATGTTTATCTCTTTGAAACCCAAGGGTGCTCACTGAGTGACAGTCTAGGGCAGTGGTCAGCAAACTGTGGCTTGCGAGCCACATGTGGCTCTTTGGCCCCTTGAGTGTGGCTCTTCCACAAAATACCACGTGTGGGCGCACACGTACAATGCGATTGAAACTTCGTGGCCCATGCGCAGAAGTCGGTATTTTGTGGAAGAGCCACACTCAAGGGGCCAAAGAGCCGCATGTGGCTTGCGAGCCGCAGTTTGCCGACCACTGGTAGGGGAAGCTTTCTAGGGTTCAAACCCAGCCCATGTGAGATAAAATTCTCACTCTTTTGTTCATCAGCTCTGTGATCTTAAGCAAGCTATCTAGCTTCTCTGAGCCTGTTTCCTTATCTGCAAAATAGGGAATGAGTAGCCCTGGCTGGTGTGCGCAGTGGGTAGAGTGTTGGCCTGAGAACCAAAGGGTCATGGGTTCAGTTCCTGGTCAAAGGCATGTACCTGGGTTGCAGGTTCATCCCCAGCCCCCTCATGCAGGAAGCAATCTCTCTCTCTCTCTGTCTCTCTGTCTCTCTGTCTCTCTCTCTCTCTCTCCCTCTTCTTCTCCCTCTCCCTCTACCCCTCTCCCTCCCT